TGTTAGACATTTTAGATAAATGTTCGCGATTTTACTACATTCGCGAACAAAGCGAAATTAAATCGCTAGCCAACAATACCCAGAGTACAGTATGTGCAAGAATAAAGAAAAGTAATTTACTTTCTTTATGAATAATTTACTAAGTACTGATAATGGAGTAGAAATGTTAAATGTCATTGTGGGGCACCAAGTCTGGCATCTGCTATTTTGAATCCAACATACCGGGTAAAGGGATCAGGGTATTTAGACCTTATCCCAAGAACGCAACAACTCGGGATGACTGTGTGTACCTCCTTCCCCAATCTGCCTTATTCCCACAGGATAAATTGTCTGTATGCACCATAGCGGTAGGCTCTTGATATATCTGCATCTGCATCATATTGGTTGTACTTCCCATAACCTAAAAGGTCTTGCTTGTGCGCAGGGCGATCCCAATAACTGACTCATCTAATATGGCAATGTCCATTTCCTGAAATCATAACAAAAGACAAGTTATATTTCTTTTATTTGCAAAAGTTTCAAAGCATGACACATTAGTCTTTGTACATACTAAGAAACTAATCTAACTCATAAATAACTATAAACTATGAGAATACATGGATAAAATTAACTCTAAATAAAACTACATATAGGAAATACTTTAATTGTCAATTGTAAGTCCTTGGTTAAAGTCTAGATGCACATGGGATTGGCACTCTAAGAGAATTTTAAAGGAATGGTAAATGTATTTTCTTATATGCCTTTGGATTGTGATATTTTGTTTATTCATGATCATATTAAAACTTGCCTCATTTAAAATACAATTTTGACCAATTGTTTCTTTCATCTTCTGAATAAAAATCATATTTTGTACAGTTAATAAAAAATGTTTTTCATCAATACTATTACACACAATACATCGGCTTTCTAGAATTCATTTAGGTTTAGCATGATGCCCAGTTTCAATTTTTAAATCATGTGAAATTACCCGAAACCTTACAATTGCTTGTCTGTATTTCTTGTTATCAAGTGTTGTATATGTTTCTAAACCAAAATCAGTTTTAAATAATCTATAAGTGCATAGTATAGGAAAGTTTAAATTATATCTTTACAAGCATTGACATAGTTTTCTTTCAATGTTTTCTCTACAATTTGAGGAAGTTTATAATATTTTCTGAATTCAATGTATCTTGATCATCCCAAAATTCTGTCAAATTTACTTTAGAGAGAATTGTTTGAATCCTTGTAACTTTTGTGGATAACATGACAGAGTGTCATTGATTTAATTTTCACATGATTATTTTGATATCTGTTCAGTAAAATCCAGTGATAGTCTGCTATTTTCAAGATGCATGCGATATTTTTCAGAACATTGTCTATCAGCTCGTGAGACGGATAACGTTTTTCATCAGAATAATGTAACTGCTTATGCAAATAAAAGGCTATATGTTAAAATTGTGTGTGAATCATTGTAACAAAAGATATATCATTCTTATTTATTTCCCTCTATTGGTAGATCTTTTTAACATACAAATATTGTTTACACATGTTTCACACATTTTTTGACATAGTATAGTGAAAGGTGGATATATTTAATTTTTTGCTGAGAAAAAACATTCAGTGGAAGGAGTTCGCTACAAAAGATTTGATATCATGGCATTTCACCGTATTATGCCTTACACTAGGATATGAGACAAGTTGTTTAGCATAACTTTAAAGAGAGAACTGTCCATTTTTGTAATTTTTGGTCATTAAAAGCTTCTTTATTCAGTAATCACAAGAAACAAAATAATGTTCTTTGTAATATATTATTATGAAAACCTTGCACAAATATTTGTGTCATTTTCAGTCAATCAATTGTTTTTTGTACATTGACAGGGATGAGAAAAGATTGGGTTGCCACATAGCAAACTGGATAATTGAATTCATTCTGCCAAGATTAATTGTTCACTGATTCTGTGTTATCAAGTTCTGTGTTTTTGTGATTCAGGATGGTTCTTGTGAACCTTTTAAATATTATAACTGTTTCCTCCCCTTCATCAGGAAGTCTGCCGAAGCACATCTTCACAAGACCTCCTTTTGTAACTCTCTCTTGCTATGATGTCAGACTTCTACTGTTGTGCAAAATCTTGAAAAACATGGAAATCAATAACTTTCAATGGCACTAAACTTTAATGTATTTAATCTTCAAATTCCTGTAAAGTGGTTTGTTATTCAATATACTGTATGATTGCTTACTCAGTATTTCATGGATTGTTTGATAATGATCAATTCTACAAAGCCTCCTTTATGATATAATGGATCCTCTTACATCAATGGAAGCCCTACATTAAACCAACCAATTAGATTCTGATTCATGGCAAATGGAAAAAATCTCAAATATGAAAACTGCCCCTATTTATTTGTAGAGAACAATCTTTATTGTTTGCAAATACAACCTACCTTATTTGTAGTATGCATTCTTTCTTTGACTTAACCATCAAATCCCAGCAGAAGGCATCTGTCTCCCTTGCTAATGGGGCACACTGTCTTAGACACAAGTTGAAATCTCCAAGTTGCATCGTTACATCAGTTGTTGGCAAAACATGTACTTTGAAGGCTCTAAGATCTTCAGTATTGTCTCTCCATCTAGGCTGAAATGTTTAAATGAAAACAAAATTAAAGCCTGTGAATAGAATGTATTTTGGGAATACGGGAGTATATTTGAATAGGGTGTATATCTTTAGATGCTGATTGATTTGTGCCATTTTACTCTCTTTTTAGGCGTAATGTACTGTAGTAGAATACATTTCAACTAAAAGGGTAAATAAATGCATGTCCAATTTTTTAGGTAATTTAAGGTTTGCATTTGACTTTTTTACAAATTAAATTAAAACATGTCGTCAGATTGCCTTGTTAACTGAAAGCGTACTATATAATGAAATTTATTACCATCACACCACTTGTATAATCTAAAGATATGAGGTCGAGCAGTTGTTTTGTTTCCTGAAGATGGCCATCCCCCTTCTCCATTATATGAGCTTGCATGTTATCGCTGAAACTTGTTTGTTTGTTGGCCTGCATATGTCTTGCTCTGGAATTGTTACATGTATCAACGACTTTTGGTAAGAGAAATGTCAAGGAGCCAATTTGGAATGCTCCTATTATTTTTCACCTGACTATTGAGGCTGAGTTTTTTGCACTTATAGGCAGGATGCGCACTTTGCCCGTTGTCTGTAAATCTTTGTATGCCTTTCGCCTAGGTATGACGCCCCTTTCAGTCCCCTTTGCATCTAATCTTGGGAATGCTTGTAGGACATCAATGGATGCAGGTGCAGGGCCCGGTGGAGGGGGTGGAGTGGTTGGTGAATGCAGAGAGAGTGGTAGAGAGGATTGGTACATGCCCCTTGCTATCTGATCTACCAAATCAGTCAGTTTAGGACATCCATGGGTGCAGGTGCAGGGCCCAGTGGAGGGGGTGGAGTGGTTGGTGAACGCAGAGAGAGTGGTAGTGAGGATTGGTACACGCCCCTTGCTATCTGATCTACCAAATCAGTCAGTGTAGGACATCCATGGGTGCAGGTGCAGGGCCCAGTGGAGGGGGTGGCCGAGGGGGTGGAGTGGTTGGTGAACGCAGAGAGAGTGGTAGTAAGGATTGGTACATGCCCCTTCCTGTCTGATCTACCAAATCAGTCAGTGTACTTGTATTATCAGTCATATTTGTTACACTTAAATAAGTAATAAAATGCTTTCATTGAATAGCGAAATAATGCATTGTATTGATGTTATACATTATAAAATTATCCTTACTTAATGCCACATTAAAAAGTTTTGATTAGACTTATCCTTCCAGTATTAAGTGTTGTGACGTTGTTGCCCCCAATTACTTATCCTATTACAAAATATTTAGTTTTTCTTCACTCTCAATTCTCGATAACTGATAAAACGATTTATATTATTGTAGTTTGTCTCACTCTGTACACAACTACAGGGTATTAACTTAGCCAATTTATATTACATGACTACCATTTACGATTTATACAATGAATTTGACTTTGGTTATGCTAAAAGGGCGCAAAGGCATTTAACACATTAATTTGTTGCACTCTGTCAAACTTCTCAACGGCTAATGGTTCACTCAAAGGGTTCACTGTAACACCATGTAAGCTGGTTATACATACATTCGGTAGAATTAGATGAGAATAGAGTCATTGAAATAAGAGAGAGACAACCAAATCTTCTTTTTGATATGTGGATATTCTTCTGTGGATGTCTTAGACACAAGTCGAAATCTCCAAGTTGCATCGTTACATCAGTTGTTGGCAAAACATGTACTTTGAAGGTTCTAATATCTTTAGTATTGTCTCTCCATCTAGACTGAAATGTTTAAAGAGGGACATGGGGTATAAATAGGAGGCAGACTAATGGAACAGCCTAAATAACTGGATTTTTGATATTTTCACAAAGCTGGTCAATTTTCTCAAATTTCATATTGATTGAGAAAATGTATTGCTTCCAATTTTGTTATGTGTTTCTTTCAATGTATTGATGTTCATATTCTGCAGTTAGATTTTAACTTCATCCTTTCATTGGGTTGTGATAAGACATTTAAAAACAGAAATATCATTTTTCAAATTTAAAAGTCCTCAAGCTTAGCCAATCAGAATCAGGTATTAAGCAATGCTGTTAATTAGACTTACTAATCCTGACTTTCTGTACCATGTTAAAGTGTGGAATTCGGAAGTATATTTGAATAAGGGAGTATATTTTTAGATGCTGATTGATTTGTGCCATTTTACTCCCTTTTTAGGTGTAATGTACTGTAATAGAATACATTTCAACTAAAAGGGTAAATAAATGCATGTCCAATTTTTTAGGTAATTTAAGTTTCGCATTTGACTTTTTTTAGAAATTAACATGTCGTCAGATTGCCTTGTTAATTAAAAGCGTACTATATAATGAAATTTATTACCATCACACCACTTGTGTAATCTAAAGATATGAGGTCAAGCAGTTGTTTTGTTTCCTGAAGATGGCCATCCTCCTTCTCCATTATATGAGCTTGCATGTTGTCGCTGAAACATGTTTGTTTGTTGGCCTGCATGTCTTGCTCTGGAATTGTTACATGTATCAACGCCTTTTGGTAAGAGAAATATCAGGGAGCCAATTTGGAATGCTCCTATTATTTTTCACCTAACTATTGAGGCTGAGTTTTTTGCACTTATAGGCAGGATGCGCACTTTTCCTCTTGTCTGTAAATCTTTGTATGTCTTTCCCCTAGGTACGACGCCCTTTTCAATATTGGTTCTCCCTAAGAGGATGAAGATCTTTTCAGTCCCCTTTGCATCTAATCTTGGGAACGCTAGTAGGACAGCCATGGGTGTAGGTGCAGGGCCCGGTGGAGGGGGTGGCGGAGGGGGTGGAGTGGTTGGTGAACGCAGAGAGAGTGGTAGTGAGGATTGGTACACGCCCCTTGCTATCTGATCTACCAAATCAGTCAGTGTACTTGTATTATCACTCATATTTGTTACACTTAAATAAGTAATAAAATGCTTTTATTAAATAGCGAAATAATGCATTGTATTGATTTTATACATTATAAAATTATCCTTAACTTAATGCCTCATTAAAAAGTTTTGATTAGACTTATCCTTCCAGTATTAAGTGTTGTGACGTTGTTGCCCCCAATTACTTGTCCTACTACAAAATATGTTGTTTTTCTTCACTCTCAATTCTCGATAACTGATAAAATGATTTATATTATTGTAGCCATTTTATATTACATGACTACCATTTACGATTTATACAATGAATTTGACTTTGGTTATGCTAAAAGGGCATGAAGGCATTTAACACATTAATTTGTTGCACTATGTCAAACAACTTCTCAACGGCTAATGGTTCACTCCCGGGATTCACTGTAACACCATGTTGGCTGCCTATACATACATTCGGTGGCATTAGATGAAAATAGTTATTGGAATAATTTTGGCTTGGACAATACTGTGGAACAATTTATAATCATTTTCATGAATGACCTAAACTGTACCTTTCAAAAGTCACGAAACTCTATGAAAGGAAACATTGGTAAAGAAACATAAATTCGAAAATACATTCAATTGTATTTGGAAAATAGGGAAGGAGAAAAAAGGTGGGTAAATATTTCAATTTGTTCTCATGAGTTTATAACTTTCTTTGAATAGCAAAATAATGCATTGTATTGATGTTATACATTATAAAATTATCCTTAACTTAATGCCTCATTAAAACATTTTGATTAGACTTATCCTTCCAGTATTAAGTGTTGTGACGTTGTTGCCCCCAATTACTTATCCTACTACAAAATATGTTGTTTTTCTTCACTCTGAATTCTCGATAACTGATAAAATGATTTATATTATTGTAGCCATTTTATATTACATGACTACCATTTAAAAGGGCATGAAGGCATTCAACACATTAATTTGTTGCACTATGTCAAACAACTTCTCAACGGCTAATGGTTCACTCCTGGGATTCACTGTGACACCATGTTGGCTGCCTATACATACATTCGGTAGCATTAGATGAAAATAGTTATTGGAATAATTTTGGCTTGGACAATACTGTGGAACAATTTATAATCATTTTCATGAATGACCTAAACTGTACCTTTCAAAAGTCACGAAACTCTATGAGAGGAACCATTGGTAAAGAAACATAAATTCGAAAATACATTCAATTGTATTTGGAAAATAGGGAAGGAGAAAAAAGGTGGGTAAATATTTCAATATTTATTCTCATGAGTTTATAATTTTAGTTGTAACATTTTATGCAAAGAAACTTTATGCCGAAATATAATTTGCATTTTCAAGAATGGCAGAGTCTGCTGTAGAGCATGAGTATATTCTTTTATGATTAGACTTTACATACAATTTAGTAACATTTTCTTTCCTAGGTCAAAGTTGCCTGTTAAAGAGTTTCAAGGATGATATCATGTCCACATATATCTTTGTTATTGATATTTTATACTCTAATTATTATCTTGCCTATGTCAAGCTTTGTTTAACACACTTTTACAATAGATTAAAAGTATATTTTCTAAATAATAATTCAGCTTGTTTTTAATTTTGTTTAATATTCGCTAATTTATATTTTCTAAAATACTAAAATATCCTGTCGATCACAGCACTCCTTGAATGTTTTTAAGCTTCTATCAGTCGATTTGCTCGTATTATCACTGAATATGTTTGTGAGAATACGATCTTTCTCCTGTGAACAAACATTTTTAAATTTTTTCTGTGGAGGATTTTCACCGTCTGCCATATTGCTAATCGGGTCAAATACACCGGAAGAATAGACTTTTTTTTGTAAATTCCCGGGAATTAAGTGATGTGACGTCATTTTCAATGAATACCACTATTTATTTATTCAATTATAATGACGTCATTTTTGGTAAATACACTCTTTACACGTTTTCTAAGCAGGGAGACATGGAATACCTCTTTATACTTTTACTCACTTTATCTGTTATGTTTTGAGGTGGTTTTGAAATATTTAACTTAATTTTTCCCAACTTCTCAATATCCCTGACTCAGCATATAACAAGTCAGTCGTTGTCCTCCAAAACTGATCTTGTTTTGATTTCGTGAGTATCATTGTGAAATTCCTTCTCACCAGATCTCGATTGTCTCGAACTCTAGAGACAATGATTTCTTTTTCCAAAACTGGTAAAGTTTGAACTCCCAATTTCTTTTCATTGACATCTACAATTATTTGTATACAATTGGTCTGAACACATCAAATGGCTTTAAATTATTTTACATATCCCTTAAGTCTATCAATAAGAGAGAAACAGAAAGATAATTTATTTTTTACTCTTTTGTATGTCCTTTGTATTTCTACAGATCTGATTCTGCCTTTCTATTCATAGATGTAGAATCGAGTGAGGTGCTGTATTTTAAACCGGGTCTGGTCACTGCTCCAAGTCCGGTCACCTTAGCCTGAGGGGGGGGGGGGGTCTGTTGGTCGCTACATCACCGTGCTGCTCCATCGTAAAGTTGCCTCGAAATGGGATGGGGGGACTAGGTCTGTGGGTATGAGGTGGAGGTTTGGAAACACACAACTAAGAATACTAATATAGAGTAGATTTTAACTTTACTGTAACACCAGAATCTTAGATGGAATTTAGTGTGCCACAGTTCTGATTAACTCTGATCAAGATGCTATGACATGTTTTTTTATATGAAAGACTGAATAATACTGATTTACAGAAAAAAAGATGATTGGGCAGTTCTTTGACCAATGGCATAATTCTAAGACACGCACCGGTTTATGATTGGCATAAACGTATACATAGATGCAGTAAATGACAACAATGATTGGACCACATGTTCCACACTGCCCCCTTTTATATCCCAAAACCATGATCTAACGTGAAAAGAAACAATGACTAACATCCCCCTTCCCCCTCCAATCGAGAACCAATATCACAATCCAGGACCAGACCACCAAGGCACATTTCATTCATACTGAAGTCATTACAAAACATGTTGAAGAAACAAGGACCACATTTTGGACGTTCATGTCAAAATCATAGCAAAAGTTCTGTTGCACCAAACAAAATGTCTCAAATGTATGCATGTTGCTTTTTAGTACGACCTTGTCCTTGCCAAAATCATACTTTCGCCAATAGCTCCTAATGTCCTTGCAGATGATTTATGAAGTTTGAAGAATGACACTGATATAGTCATATAATTGAAAATTCGAAGTTTATGCCGAAATCATAGCAAAAAATCTCTTGCACAGAAATGTGGCATATTACCCAAGTGTCACTATTTCTTGGATCTTTCTAGGGTGACTGACTCCGTGACTTTTTGTTGGATGGCCCCTTCGGGCCCGAAACTCTTGGCGACAGTTGCTATAACCCCCGTTCCAACAGAGCCCTTACGATAGCTGCTAAGCCCGTCGCCAGCCCAGTACTGGGAATATTCAGCTCCACATTCCCATCTGCCAAAAAGGCCATTTTACCGTGTGTGAGGTAGACAATGCCCTTTATCTTTAATTGCTGCTGTCCCTTGAGGCGGTGAAGCATCCTCAAGACTACGGGTTCTCTTTCCAGCCTCGGCCACTTATGAAGGAGGTGAGGCCTCGACATCTGGCATGAGACCCAACAGATCCTGTCTGCGACCTGCATGGTGCATGGAGGTGATGCACCTCCTCCAAGGAACGGTGACGACCTTGAGACATGTAGGGCGTTCACTTTCGCAGCCTTTCTCGAATGCATATGTGTACGTGACCAGGATCTGTCTTCAGGGTTTCTTGAGCTTTCTTGGGCTGGTACACGCACTCCCTGCCACACTTGGGGTGGCTCTCATCTAGGTGTTGGCGCAAGTCGCCAAATGTGTTGCGTCTCCTCTTACATATAACACATTTTTTAGGGATTTTGAACTCTGACATTCTCGTGCGTTATGCTTTGAAACCTCAGATGTGGAATGACTGAATTTTGCCTGGGATACAACGTAGGGATAGAGTTTGATTCGTCTCGGACTATTTACAGGGTGCATCGGCTCCCTTTGAAGTCAAACCCCGCCTATTTGCTTGTTGTTGGCTAGGCTCCTCCTCAGATGCTAGGGACCAACTTCTCATTGGACATTGACCCCGGTCAAATATCAATAAACAGTGTAGCCACGCACCGTACAGGCACTTTGCGGTTAGGGAATAATTGCACGTGTAATCGAGAGTCATAAAATCATGGCTTACCAGCCTCTTCCACATTCCATTACTAACTAAAATTCCAACGGCTACAGAGGAAACAATTGAACCTGGCGTATATAAGATACAATATTGAACAAATATTTCACTCTTTTGAGGTGAATACCTGTACATCTTTCACAAGTGATATTCCACGAAGTCCGAAGGCCAAGTGGAATATCACCTTGTGAAAGTGCTACAGGTATTCACCGAAAATAGAGTGAAATATTTGTTTTATTATATCACTGTCTAGCTAAACATCCCTAATATGATTAAGTCATTAAGTCTTCAGATATTTTTGGTCATCATAGCAAAAGTTCTGTCGCACCAAATAAAATGTCTCAAATGTATGCATGTTGCTTTTTAGTACGACCTTGTCCTTGCCAAAATCATACTTTCGCCAATAGCTCCTAATGTCCTTGCACATGATTTATGAAGTTTGAAGAATGACACTGTTATAGTCATATAATTAAAAATTCGAAGTTAATGCCGAAATCATAGCCAAAAATCTCTTGCACAGAAATGTGGCGTATTACCCAAGTGTCACTATTTCTTGGATCTTTCTAGGGCGACTGACTCCGTGACTTTTTGTTGGATGGCCCCGTCGGGCCCGAAACTCTCGGCGACAGATGCTATAACCACCGTTCCAACAGAGCCCTTACGATAGCTGCTAAGCCCGTCGCCGGCCCAGTACTGGGAATATTCAGCTCCACATTCCCATCTGCCAAAAAGGCCATTTTACCGTGTGTGA